GCTTTTTTTTTCTTCTTCACTTTGTCCTAATACCTCTATAATTACTAATTCATGATGTTCATATGCTTCAAAACTACTTTCCTCGAATATTTCCTGAAACTTTCTCTAGGTTTTAGCAGTTAGTAATCAATTCAAACCATAAGTGTGCTCATGGAATATATGTATGCACGGTAGCATATATCGATTATGGAACAGGCAATAACAATCTAGTGAAGTAAGCCCCAGTGCACCTTTACTCTTCGCTAACCTATCCATTACTGCATTAGCCTCTTTTATAAGCATTAATTGCATGGGATACGGAAACTTATGGATTTCTTTAATTATTTCGTCTTCAATACTATAGACAGATATTTTTTTCATATGGAAATTAAAAGCTACATCTTCAGCGTCGATTTGTTTTTTTTGATCAAGGTCAATAACTTTATGAGCTACACTGATTAACTCATTTAAGTGAGACGTAGTTCTTTTTAGCTCACTATGAAAAGACTCTAATGTATTAGTGGACGTAACTTGAAGTAAGAGTGGAGAATGCTGTCATGCCCAAAAAGCCTACTAGTGCATGTTTTTCATGTAGTTTCATTGAATATATTTGCAAATAGCAGGAACCAGACATGTACTAACAGCTTCTTAAATAAGCTGCTCACATCCTATTCACATCTTCTTATGTATAGCTGCAACTATGATACTTTGAGTCTTATCTTCATAAATTTTTGAAAGCCATGTACGCATTAAGTGAACAGAGCAAAATAAAATTTTACACTCTTGTTCACCAGTATTATTACCAGGGAAAGCTTGCATTATGCTATTAGCTTCAGTGCTGCTTTGATCAATTAGAATATATCAGAGAACCCAATGACATTTGTTTCGAACTAATAGCAATGCTTTTGTGATAGTTGCACTATCTTTAGCAAATACAAAAAAATGTGAACTACTTTTCCAATACCTGTGATTATCGTAAACATACAATATGAAAAGTTTTCAGCTATATTTATTGGTTTTATGAGTAGAGTCTATCAATGTAAGCCAACTATGGCATTGGAGTTTTTCTATTTGTCTAGGATGTATGAAAACTATACCTTCGGTACATTTTACTTTCCCCCTTTCAGATTGCTGAGAAACGTGATAATGTTTGGCATAGTACTCTTGAATTTTCAAATATGATAAGGTCTCAGATATATCTATTTCTAACTTTACATATCCTATTAAATATGCATTTAAAGGTCCTTGAAGCTTATATTTAATGTTTGCAACTTCTCTTCGTCTTAGATGTTCAACACTATCTCTAATCCTAACTCATTTTTTGTATATTCTTTAACCGTACTAGTAATAACCACAGGTTCATAATTTTTAATAGCTTCGTTGGCAACCAAGGTTCAGATAGTATTTGAACATTTTAGCATATTGCTATTTTCTAATATGTACATATGATCTGGAGAATTGTTATAATGCTCGATTCGAACTATCTTACAAGAAGTTGACCAGATTATTTTAACTTTTGCTTCACAAAGACCAGCTGATCGAATATGAGTTTTTCTTCATTTATCATTTGGAACACCTTCTTGTTACGTACTTGAATTCCAATGCTTATTAAAATGACAAACATAAATCCTCCAAAAGTCACCATTTCGAAGCCTATATGAGCTATATTGAGTTCATATATTCATAACTAAAGGCCACAAATTATTATCAAAGTCTTCTTCTGGTACTTCAAAAAGATTTTTTACATTAAAAAAAGGGAATGTGTTTTAGTGCTAGCATCTGAAGTACTTTCTAAAGAGCTAGTATTCTCTTTGTTCATATCAGAAAACTATATGCCCGCAAAAATTGAAAAAAAAAAATTGAAAAAAACCTTATTCGAAAAAAACTATTCAAAGATAAAATTATTATTATTATTATTATTATTTTTGGTTTTGAAAGCAAGTAAAGAAAAAAATTGTTTGAAAGCAAGTAAAGAAAAAAAAGGCTCAAAAGTAAGTGAAGAAAAAAAGGCTTCGGAAGTAAAGAAAAAAAGGCTTCAGAAGCAAGTAAAAAAGGCTTCAAAAGCAAGTAAAGAAAAAAAGACTTTGAAAGCAAGTAAAGAAAAAAGGCTTTGAAAACAAGTAAAAAAAAAAAAACGAATTTTAAAACAAGAAAAAAAAAAAAAAAAACTTTGAAAATAAGGCAAAAAAAGACTTTGAAAACAAATCATGAACCTTTTTTTTCTTGCTTTTGAAGTTTTTTTTCTTACTTTCAAAGTTTTTTACGAAAAAAAAAATAAATTAGCAATTTAAATTTAATCGGTAAACACACTATCTTGATTTACTTACTGTTACATTTGTACGTACAGCAGATTAACATTAACTATCATTAGATTATTTATCTTTAATTGTAGTACAAGTGTGACAATTTCAGATGTGATATTTGCGAAAATCAAAATTTACTCCACTTTAACTGATCCCCAAATTAGAATTCAGTTATTTGAGTAGAATCTCAAGTTAGCAGCACTTAGTGACTCAGATGACCCATCTACAGGTGAGATTTTCAGAACATGTCCAACTAATAGTACACGTATATAAATAGTTCTGTAGTTTAAAACATAGTTTGAAATATTGAATAGAAATCTATTATAATTGCAGAAGCTGAAATTTGCAGAAACGGAAATTTTAGGGTCTCAATAACCAATTAAAACTAAGTAAAAACTTAAAAATATTCACTTAAAGTTTCATACAGCAACTCTCATATGTAGTATAATAATAATTATTTTTATTTAACGATTGATCTCTCAAAATTTATAAGTTTTATTAAGACCTATTCTAAAAAGTAATCAAATGTAAAGATGCCAAAAATAAGGAGATAAATATTGAATACAAATGTGATATAAAAATTGCAAAGGAGCA